CACTAGATCTCGCAGCGATGTTATTACTTCAGTGGCGAATTCAAATGTTTTCTTCACTGGATCTCTTAACGCTGTGTCGCTTGATCTCGCGCTGCACAGATGTTGCTGGTCCGAACTGATAATGGTCCGTTAAGCACAATATAATGAGAAGCGCAGTTTCGTTCCGCTTTCATTACGTTTGCCATTTGATGTTGCGCAACGTTGTGGTGATCGCGCCAGCGCGGATTTTGTCTGCAGGAAAAATGGTCCTAGGAATCGTTCGGTATATGCGTACCGAACCGGAAGCCTCGTACCGAAACGGTTCAATAATTACGAATACATGTACCGTTACACCCCTAATTTACATGTATCCGAGTCCTGATCGGGAGGTAACGTCCGATTCCGATCGAGTCTGAAACCACGTGATCGGGCCCGATTTCCGATCGCGTGATCGGATCGGGACATCCCTAATCATAAGTAATTTTCTGTTTTGATAAGAATCTTGGTAGAACTTTATTTTACAGTCCTGTTCTGCGTGTACATACTATGTATTTATTATAACAATTACAATAACTGAGTTATGTACTAACCCTGAACCTACCCCTAACCCTAACGTTAACCCATGTAGTTACCTTATATTACCAGTACTTTCTTGGGTAAGTACACTGTAAGTACACGTACTGTAAAATAAAGTGTAACCAGAATCTCAATCTCTGACCAAGTCCAGTTTTTCAAGTACAAATCAAGTATCTTCCACGTTCACGGTTCTACAAGATATTAAACGGTGTTCACTCTGGGTCAGAGAGGATAGAAAGGCAGTGTAGTCAAACACACGCATGCATGCGCATTAATGCTAACACAGGTACACACATACACAGACAAACACCTGCCTTTTCCTTCATGTTAACTTACTATATATGATCTGGCAGTTAACTGTGTAAACATACTTACAGTTGGGACAATTACACAGCTCCCTCAGAGGCTCGACCACAGGAAGATGCGTTCAGGTCAGAGAGCGAGAAGCTTCACACTGTTTTATGGCTACATGAGTTCCCATTACAGCCCACCGCTTTGTAGTCTTCTCTCCTGTGAATCCTGTGAGGAAAGCAATGGACCATCACGCCTGACGAATTTGATTTGGGCTAGTGAAATGAGTCTCTTTGTTAGCTAAAGTGCATGAGAGCACTCGCAGACAGATGGAGAGCAGAAAAATTCCTAGTGGATTTTCAGACATATAATTAAATGCGATCCCTTTATGCCCGTTTCAATGGAAATTTAGGAGGATTTTTTTGTGTGAGAATATTCCTTAAAAGTAGAAATCAAGAAGTCTGGGGCATATAAATGTAGATTGCTTGTTAATTGATGTATTCAGTAAAGCACCAAGTATAACTTAATCAATTTAGCTCTTCATAAGTCACTTAATGTCTTTTAAAATTTAATCAAACATTCTTCTCTTTGTACTGACACACAGATGTCTGATGATTAATGGTCATAGAGAGCGGTAATATTTTGGCTGCACCTTTTTTTATCCAGGCTTATTGATTTTTCCAGGAGGATTGTTTAGCATGACATCACCCCAGTGATATTTCCAGCCCGGCTGTGACAGTACAGAATGACAAACAGCCTAAATGCACACACTGGGATGGGGACAGATGATTCAGGGGGAAAAAAGAGCAAATCTCATCTCCTTTCAATCTGTGTCAACAATGTCAAATATCCCCTTTCACCCAGCACAGAAAGCAATGTGAGGAAAACAGAAGCTCTCCTAAGCAACTTCTCCTGCTTTGACGTATGATATTGTAACTGCTGTTTTCTGAGTTATGAAATTATATAACCTCTGACAAGAGTCTATAAACAGTTTCTCTGCAAACCGCCTGGTAATCCATATAGCATAGTTTTCGAAACCTTATAGCAGAGAGTCTGAGTGCAGAAGCCAGCAGTCTTAGAAAGTGTCTTTCTCCACAGTATGTGTAGTAGCACAATTGCTCTTGCAGTAGTTTATGGTAATGACAGGGCAGATAAGGAATACATAATGCTATGCTTTAACTTACTATGAAATAAATGCAGTTCAAGTTTTCTCCTTAAGCTCCTTACCTTACCTCAGGCTTGGAAAACTAGCTTTGTAGTTTTCTCACTGCTTTTGCACAGCTTTACCTTCTTCTTTTTTTATAGGTTTTGTGTTTAATGTTTCCACATAGGGACTATGTACATTTCCTCGAACAAGATGCTAAATGTGGAGAAGAGATAGAGACCTTTCATAATACTTAAAGGGATAATTCACCTAAAAATGAAAGTTCTGTCATAATTTACTCACCCTCATGTCGCTCCAAACATGAATGACTTTTTTTCTGCTGTACAAACAATAAAAATCAGTGTTGTCCAGCTTTATTTCTGGATCCCATTGACTTTCATTATATGGACAAAGAAATCTTCTTCAGAATTTCTTCTTTTGTGTTCGCGTTAGAAAGAAAGTCATCCAGGTTTTCAGAAACATGAGAGTGCGTAAATTATGACAATTATCATTTTTGGGTGAACTAATCCTATTAGGATTAGCTGTGGAAGAGTTTGTTTGAAAAAGGCTATACTTGCACATCCCTTGTGTAATGAATAAAACCTTTACAATATAAGAATGTTTCCAAATGCAATGATGTCCTACCTGCCTGTCAACATATGTATTTCCATACCTCCGTGCTCCCATCACACGTCATCAGCGCGTTGTAGACATTGTCACTGGGTCCTTTAAACAAACAGCAGTATTCTTTTACAGTTCCTCCTGAACCAAAACAAAGAGCTTATGGTGCGTTAACGCCATGTCATAACCGTAATTACAACATGGTAACTCATGATTACTCAGTTCACGTCCTCCGACTCGGATTTATGCGTTTGCTATCAACACCGAAATGAATGTCCAGAAGTCAGGTGGGACAAGTAAGAGCTCTGTAAGTTGTTTACATTCATTATTAATGTTATGTTCTTTGAGACATGAGGTAATTTAATGTGCAAACTCTGCTGTGTGCGTTTATGTGTTTTAAAGGAGCCGTGGCTTTGGAGAGCAGGATCTAAAGATAGCTTACTATTGCTAGCCGCTCTGCAATTACCTACCCTACCTTTAAGAATGAATTTGCGATGCCCAGGCATCTTGAGACATGTTACTCTATTGCTAAAAACAAACAGCATCTCAGTTCTGATGTATTGAGATTGGAATATCATCAACTTCACAGGACTAATGTCCCTATGGAATCTCAAGTGATGGAGTGATGAGGGAAAAAAAAAAGATTAGAACATGTGAGCTTCCGTACCCCACACCTAGCCTGGGCAAATAAACTTGCATACAAAAGTCACAAAACTACTAAAATAAACCTATATCAAACAAAAGCGAGCCCATATGGCCTGAAATTATGACTCAACTGCTATTAAGTGGCAATTTATTCAAAAGTTAGGTGGGTTGGGACTACAGGCAGCCTTTTCTACTATTTTATCTGAATAACAAAATGGGCTGCTGAGCGTTTTATGAGCTGATCTGTTTTGTTTTCCCTCTCTTTCCTCCACAAGCCCTTTTGTGTAGTCTATTCACTTTGCCCCCGTTAGAAACCAGGCTTCTTCTCAGTGCAAGTCCAAGGACCATTTTTCAATTCATTCTCTCTGCTGTGAAACAAAAAAGGAGAAAATAGTGTCACTTGGCTGGTTGGTTGCCTTGCCAACACCAAAAAATCAGCAAATTTTTGTACATAATGAATTGAGTCATTTTAATGTCATGTTGGTGGTGTAGCTTCTCCTTTGCAATTGACCTATTTGTCAAAGTGTTTGTGCTTTTGTTCATTAACGCCCACTCTGACAGTACTAATGATGTATTTAGTATGTTTGAGCTTGCAAAGTCAGTCAATTGCCAGAGGACAAAGACATTGTAAGATAGTGAATGGTACTGTTGATTCATTTGTTAAATATTTATGCTTTTCAGTGACCTGAAGACTGACTCACATCACTCTATTATAGCTGTCTAGTTTTTGAGCTGTCAACATCTGAAACCTGGATTGGTTGTCATGAGGAGGGCATTTCACTCAAGACTTGGCAATTCTCCAGTTTTATTAAAGGAATAGTTCTCTCAAAAAAATTAAATTTCCATTGTTTACCATTTGTTTAAAATATAGGCCTACTGACTACTTTTTTCCATATAATGAAAGTGAATCAGGACAGTGACGTGTCGACCTCTAAATAAAATAAAAAACACCACAGAATCATAAAAGGGGTTCAAATGACTCATCTGTTACTGTATATTCTACATTTTCAGAAGTCATCATTCTTGCGAGAAAGACCGGAATATAAGCCATTATTCACTTATAATCTTCTGCACCAGTGGGCTGATAACCACTGCAACTGCATCATTGAGTTGAACTTGGGAACTGAATCAGTCCGATTCATGACCGAGTCATTCAAGTCATTTTTGTGAATTGTACCAGCAGATTCATTGAAAAGATATGATTGAAAAGGACGATTGGTCCACAAATCAGACATCGCTTCTTCTTTAAGAAACTCTTATGAACATGTCAGGGAAATCTAGGGAGAGTTTCTATAATGACAAACTTAATATTCAACAATAAAATTGACTTGACTGCTCTGACGCTATTGGATGAGAACTGAACTGAGCTGGATGATGACATCACCGGTTTCTGTAGAACTGCTTTATAGATTAAATGAACTAATAATTGATGATCTTTACAATGGAACTGAATCAAAACTGAACTGACTTCAGCTGAACAATGACACATTTTTCTTTTAAAGCTGCTGTACAGCCGAAATGAACTGTTTGCATCATTGAATAATTTTCCTGTTATCACTGTAAAGCTGCTTTGAAACAATCTGTATTGTAAAAAGTGCTGCTTGACTTGACTTAATGACAGAGCTTCGGAATGACAGAACATACATTTGTAGTTTTTAGTTCAGTTGTGCTCAGCTGGTACTCTGATGATTGTTGCACCATAGTATATGCCCATAACAAGTTAAACTTTTGATGTTTCTCTAAGGTTCTCAAGTCCTTGCCTAGAATCGAAGGTCGTCCCGGGGCTTCACTTCCACCGATGGACTTTGAGGCTCTTGAGTCTGGTCTACGATCGGCATATGGTGATGACATCACCCCTGAAGATGTGATGTCAGCAGCCATGTACCCCAAAGTTTTCCAGGAGTTTAAAGAGTTCACATCAAACTTCGGCCCGGTGGACTGCCTTAACACTCGCCTGTTTCTGGACGGCCCCAAAATCGCAGAGGAGTTTCAGGTACATTTCTATTACACTGTGATATGTGAGGACATGCTGCGACTCACAACATCGATTGACTTAATTTCCTTATCACTGTGCCTCATTTCTTCTTACTAATTTCTCAACTATATTTTACTCTGTTAAAATTATAACACCAAGGGATGTGATTGTGACCTTCTAAACTTTACCCTGACTCTCCCTGAGAGATTTGCAAAATTAGATTTCCTTCTGTCCTCAACTAGCCTCCACGTTCACAAAGTTTATTAGCACACTTTATTGCAACAGTTGTTGTAAAATTGATTAGAATAGTAAGATTGAATTGAACTTTTGTGTTCAAAATATATTGCTTTGAACATCTAGGCTCTCTTTGTTAAGGTGCTGTGAAGTCAGATAAACCATAAATGATATTTTACACCTTACACTTTACACTTTAATTTAACTGAGAGTTTGACTTTGTAAAGTTCAATGAGTGCAAGTTTTTTAGCTTAATCCATGCTAGCTCCTAAATAATCTCAAACTGGTACAGCTGTATCTCTATCTAGATGAGCCCTGGGGTGTTTCTAAATGTGTTGATTGGAGCTTAGCCGTGTGTTTGCCTTCTAAAACCCCATTATGAGTTAAGTGGGTGTTACCTGGCAGCCATAAATGTGTCTCGGAGTCCTACTGCAGGCGCCACGAGAACTGAGAGCACCACATGCACGACTCGCATAGCTGATCACGCTCCGAGACAGAGCGAGAGCCAACCAGGGATCAAACTCACCTACAAACTCGTTTTACTTTGAAAAAAGCACCAAATCTGTTAGATTGCTTACATGTCTTAATCATCTGCTGGCCTGATTCTTCAAACCAGGTCTCTCTGTACTCTTTCAAAACGAACCAGATTTTCCTCGGTTGTTATGCGTAATCATAAATTTCTCAGGGACTGAAGTTATTTGGCGGCGTGTTTCTCCACCCAGTCGAGCTGTCCAAATGGGATGTTAGTCGTGGCTGATTAGCGTAGATTAGCATGAGCTATATTAAGCTGTCACTGAGGCAAATGCAAGCACACCCCAAAATAGCATCCCCTCCACAGCCAAACAGCACATGGTACAGACCTAATGCATCCCAGAGGCCTGAGCTAATCACTCATCCCTTAATCTACCTTAATTCTACCCAAGTTTTTTATTTATTTTATTTTTTTTTTAGCCTATTGTGCCCCAATCTGGTTTTGTTGTTTTTTTTGTTTTTTTTTTGTTTTTTTTTTTTTTTTAGCTCAATCGCAGCTTTTCATTTCTCATACCTAGCTCTTCATTGTGTCTTAATATGTTTCTGGCTCTTTCCTCTCACAGGTTGAGTTAGAGAGAGGGAAAACGCTGCACATCAAAGCCTTGGCCTTGGGTGACTTGAACAAGTCTGGTCAGAGAGAAGTGTTTTTTGAACTCAACGGCCAGCTGCGTTCAGTCTTGGTCAAGGATACGGCAGCAATGAAGGTAACTGTTTGCTGTTTATTTTATTCCCTGGATTGGTTTGTTTCATCACTGAAAAGCAATTATCCTGACGCAAACAGTACACTCAATCATTCAGACATGTTTTGCGAATGTTCCATTTTCTCTCTCTCGAGGTGTGAATAATTTCTGTCATAAGCTAAAAATGATCTTGCTCTTGCTGTCATAGGCGTTTATCACTTAGAGGAAAAAAAAGTGTTAAAAACATCTTTTAAATTATTAGGGCGTGCAATGTATAGCTGCGTTCCATTCGATAGGGTCCCTACACAGTGTTCACTGCTCCCTACTCCCTGAACACGGTGTATCAGTTGAAGTGGACTTCGCTGACAATAATCGCTCATGCAAACGTCATCAAAGAAAGTTAACGATGGGGTCGCGCAGATTATGATAAAACATAAATAGATATTATAAATTACTTTCGAATTTAAAATATATAAAATACATATACAAAAACATACAATACATATACAAAACACACATTATGTATTTTATGTAATATAATAAAAACTTAGGATATATGTTAATATAGCCTTCTTGAATGACTTGCGGCAATTAATAGACTATTAACAGATTTGAAGCAGAACTGTAATGCTATATGAAAATAAATTATGATTTGATTAACTATGTGTAAATGTGTTCTTAATTCATGGTCTGGGTCTTATCTTGTGCGCTTTGACCGCTTTCTTTTCCACACACAGCCGCATAGTAAACATTCCTGACTTAAATTAAGTAAAATAAAAAATTACCGAGCCTCATCCGCTTCTCGACACTTTTACTTTGTCATGCCTATTCATACAATAGAATCTGAAGTTCTCACTTTCATTGCCCACACATAAAACACATCATATTTAAGATGATTCATTACAAAAAAAAAAAAAAAAAAAAAACTTCCATTTGGTCTGTCCTACTCTGGAAGATGGTTTCCACCCTCTGTAAATACTCTTGATTTGTTATTGTCTTGTTTGGCAGACAGAGGATGGTCCAAACACATTTAGTGTCTTCAGTCACAGATAAGTCAGAGTGATGACACTTGCTCAGCATATGCTCAATAGAGCTCGCCTTCTGCCTCAACACAATTAGCAAGAGCATTTCTCCTCATGTCACATGAAGTTCATTTTTGCAGGTCCAACATTTTTCTTCTGCTGTCTGAATTTTTTATGCCTTTGAAATGAAAAATGTAATCTGATTTATCTCTAGGCTATTTGTTAAACGTTTAACATGAATGACAGATACTAACACTGTCGCTGGTTTCTGCCTTATTCATCATAGGTGTGAAGTTAGGGGAACAATAGTTACGTGACACCAGTTGTGAAATGAAATTGCATCACTTAAATATACTATACTATTTATTTTTAACGAACATATAATCAATTTCTAATGATATTTGTGTGTGTGTGTGTATATATATATATATTGTGTTTTTGTGTATATACTGTATACAGCACCGGAGAAACCTTTTCATAGTTCCTAGAACTATTGGCGGATGTACCCGTTTTTTGTTGTGTTCGCATTGCAGGAACTAGGAACGATTTTAGTTCTAGGAACTCATTTTGGAGGAACTAATTTAGCTCCTATTTCAGAGTAGGGTCTAAACCAGCACTTTAGAAACTACCAGTGACGTTAGTGTACACCGATTGGCCGAACGCATGCGAAACACCAGCACCCTCCATTTTTAAAAAAAGCTTTGTAAACACACATAGTGTGTATATAGCCTATATATTTAGTCCACAAACTAACTCTACGAACATGGAAAACAGTGATACATGGTCCTCAGTGATGGATTAGCCTCTTAACCTTTGCGCTAAGGAGAAAAGTCAACGCAATTTTGAGGGGACCAAGAGAAACATGATTAGGCCTATGTATTTCTGCTCAGCTAGCAACACTGGACATCAACCACATGGCATACGCTAATACCTTTTCATATACTGTCTACTTTCATATACTGTACATCCGCCAATAGTTTCCTAGAACTATTGGCGGATGTACCCGTTTTTTGTTGTGTTCGCATTGCAGGAACTAGGAACGATTTTAGTTCTAGGAACTCATTTTGGAGGAACTAATTTAGCTCCTATTTCAGAGTAGGGTCTAAACCAGCACTTTAGAAACTACCAGTGACGTTAGTGTACACCGATTGGCCGAACGCATGCGAAACACCAGCACCCTCCATTTTTAAAAAAAGCTTTGTAAACACACATAGTGTGTATATAGCCTATATATTTAGTCCACAAACTAACTCTACGAACATGGAAAACAGTGATACATGGTCCTCAGTGATGGATTAGCCTCTTAACCTTTGCGCTAAGGAGAAAAGTCAACGCAATTTTGAGGGGACCAAGAGAAACATGATTAGGCCTATGTATTTCTGCTCAGCTAGCAACACTGGACATCAACCACATGGCATACGCTAATACCTTTTCATATACTGTCTCCTTTAAATGTATAACACTTCTATCTTATAACGTAATATTGGACTATTATTATTATCAGGACTGTTAGACAGATCGTAAACTACTGAACACGGAGAATGTGAGCACTGTGAGCTCAGGCTCTGGCTGGCGTACTACTAAGCGGCGTCGAAATAAAGGTCCGCCACGCCATCAAAATAAAAGTCACCACAACAAGCGCGGTGGCGGTGCTACTGGCGGTGCGAATGCAACCAGGAAAATGTTCCTAGGGGAACCATTAGTTCTCGGGGAACCACCCTGGTGGCTAAGTTCCTAGAACTACACTGTGCGAAAGCACCTTATATGTATAAATTAAATAACATTAGAAATAGTATATATATAGTATAGTATATAGTGTATATATATTTATTTATATATATATGTGTGTTATTTATTTTATTTACGCTAAAAAAAAAAATATTTACACTACCATTCCAGAGTTTGAGGTCGTTAAGTCTCTTTTGATCAACAAGGCTGCACAGTTTAATTAGTAGTCTATAAAAAATATATATATATTACTAAAGCAGAAACATTATATGTTTGAGGAGTGCACAAATTCATTATGATCTTTCTCATTGTAAACATTTTAACAGTCCATTGAATCATGTTTCTCATAGCAGAAGATGACTGGCAGTTTGGAAATAGTTGTGAAGGAAAATGTGTCAAATATTTCATTGCCTCTGGTCTCTCCTGTAATCGTCTCATTCTGTTTTCTGCTTCGCCAGGAGATGCACTTTCACCCTAAAGCCTTGAAAGACGTGCGGGGACAGGTTGGAGCTCCCATGCCCGGTAAAGTGGTGGAAGTAAAGGTGAAGCCAGGCCAGAAGGTGGAGAAAGGTCAGCCTCTCTGCGTACTCAGCGCCATGAAAATGGAGACCGTCGTCAACTCGCCAATCTCAGGCATAATATCCAAGGTGCATGTCAATCCCGACAGCAGCCTGGAAGGGGATGACCTCATCCTGGAAATAACCGAATAAAATGTAAAAGCTACAGAGGTTAAAGGTTGCTTTTTTCTAGAATTCATTTTTTGACTGATCTTTTAATTTGGTGGATTGGTGGTATTGTGATTGCTGATGATTCTAACGTGGTGTAAAACTCTCCTGAGCTTTCAGAGTCAGAATAGTTTTTTGGCTGTTGTTTGATTCAAAATAGAAGCATATAGATGAAGCATTTATAGCCTGTAACCAGAAACCACAGAAGCCATTTTGTGATTTACTTTTTGGTATTCAGTTATCGCTCTGTTAATACACTGAGGACACTGAATTTACTTACAGCCTTGAGGAAAGGAGGACACATGACACCGACATTACAGACAGATGATTCCAGTTTTATTATTATTATTTTTAAGTCAATTAAAATGAACACGATTCATTATAAATCCAGATGACAATAACATAGCTGAATTTAAATGCGTGTGTGTACGTGTGTGTGTGTGTGTGTGTGTGTGAGTGAGAGAGAGAGAGAGAGAAACACTGCAAGTTGTAAGTTTGAAGAGGAACAGCAGTTTCATATTAATGTCATGTTAGTGGAGCGTAAAATCATCATTTTAAAATGTCTGAAATATTAATACCAGCAACTATTCTAGTAGATGCACATTAAGCACAGTGTCGTCATGATAACATCATACTGCAGTGCAGATCTTGCCAAAAGCAATAAAGTTGATTAATCATGAACACATAAGCTATTCAGATGTATATAATAATCAACAATAATTGAAGATTCAAAACCAGCCATTTTTTTTGGACTAGCTCATTATGAGGAATGTGAGTGTAGCTAATGTAATGTGGTAAATGTGTTATAATGCTTTTGAAAGTTAGTGCACAACAAATTCCTTATTTCTTCCTCCTCTCCTCCTCTTTTTAATCACTCTATCACCTTGCACCACGGGAGCTCTCAGGTATGCGCTTCCACTGTAAGTGAACAGCAAGTCATTACATAAGCAATAATGAAGTAAACAAATGCAAAACATATGTCTGTGGGGCAGCAAAGAGAAGCTTCATTTTACAAATACTCCTACAAAATGTTTTGTAAATGTAATTGTGTAATATGTTTACATAAATCCCACTTAAACGCTCAAACAATGTGTTTTTCTCATTCAGCAGAATGCGTTTTAAAACATTCCCTATTTGAATGCTGTAGAAAAGGAGACCGTAATTATGGGTAACCGTTGATGCACCTTTAATACTGAAAGTCTTCAGTCTGTTATTAATGATATGCTGCACAAGATAGTTCATACTTGACCTTGAAATAAGCCTTGATTGTAGTTTCATATAGAAATCTAACTGTGACATTTCAAGGTGGTTACATACTGAAAATGGGATTCACAAAAGAAAATCTGGAGTTTTTTTTACAGCAATATAGGGTCCCAATACAAGGTTCAAACTGATTGAAAAGTTGATGTAGTGTGAAGAGATCAAAGGACGAGGGTGATTGTTTATTGAGCTTTTGGATGCATTCAGTTTTTCTGATTGAATCTGGCTTGCTTATCAACGGCATACTGCAGAGAGGTTCCACAATTTTACAATGGCTTTTCAATAAATCATGTGACTTGCACATGGTTCTCACACATGTTGAGCTTAAATTATTAGCTTTTGTGTGATAGAGAGGAAGTGTGTGACTGAGCCTGTGCAAAAAGTGTTCATATGTTTTCGTGTGCATAAAAGCCAGAGATGCATACAGACACCCACGTGTTACCAGGGATACCAAAAGATACATGAAACCGAAAAATGAACTAATGTTCATTGAAGCTGCTCAATTAAACACGGAAACTGGGGTGTTTTGTTTTTTTAATGCCGCTGTTTGGCAGTTTCTGCCATGTTCTGATGTTTACAAAAGAAATGCTCAACCAATAAGAACCTGTAAGGTTCTTTTTGGAATCAACATCTTGTGGGTTTGATGTAGAATGTTTCTGTTGAACTAACAGGACTACAATTATTACTTATACAAAGCAAACTTCATAATTATATTCTATCATCAGTACAACTATTGCCTTTTGTTTTTGTTCTTTTGAGATAATTACTGTTAAATTTGTAATTCATGCTAAACTCAAATTCTGTACGTGGGCAGAGAACTGAGGACATTAGCAGTTCAGTCCTTAAGTCTTTCAGTTGAGGATTTCTTTATTGAAGCTGAAGAATTAAAGCTCCATACATATTGGTTTAATCATTTAATTAGTTGTAAAAGGGAATGTTGATGCAGTTCAATTGAAATCGTACATTGTATTTACATGATTATAAGAATGTTTATTTTGTCATTTTGTTTCCTTTTCCTCCATTTTAAACTTTGTCTATGGTTGTTGTTTTGTAGTAATCATATTAGAGATATGTTCAACAAAGACTGAAAATAAATCAAATAAAGAATTACAACCAGATAAATATCTCACATGTGATTACTCACAAATGCACTGAATGAAATGAACTGCTCTTCTAATAAATTGTGATGTGTTAGTGAATTTAATGACCTAGTGTACTCACTGTACTGTAGGCCATTGTACAAAGACTGTCAAAGGTTTTTTCACAACACATTATTTTTAGGTACATCACTGAATATATCATTGAATATGTTAAAGGTATACACTCAAAAAAATGAACGAGGAAGGTTGTGCACTTTACTTGATATATTTATATTTAGTTTACTTATAATAATTGTGTTTTTTTTACTTGAAATGTTATTTTTTTCTAGTAAGGTCAACATAATTATGTCTCAACTTAACCGTACAAAATCCTAACGCGTTGTCTAAACACAAACCATTTATGTTAAGTAAAAAATTCTTACATCCAGATGGTGGCAGTATAGTGCGATGCCAACTGCCATTTTGCCCTAACTTAATTTGATTGTGTTCAATCTGTTGAACTATATGTATTACATGTGATTACATGATTGATTTGTGTTGCATTAACTGAAACTGGGTGGTGCTTGTTAGTTCCCAGCATGCTTTGCATATGGTTGAATTAAGAGAGAATAAATGTTAAAATTAAGTGTTATTTTTTTTTTTTTTTTTGAGAAAATTTGAAAAGGGGAAGACTAGATAGTGTGTAATTATGTTTAATGTTCAATTACATTGGAATTATTAGAACCTTTTAAATTACAGTCGGTTACCATGGTGGAGAAGAGTGGAGCATTTTGTTTGGCTGTGGACTGATTTCAGTTATTTTCCACTGATTTGGTTGAAGGAGCATATAAATCTTAGCATTTAAGATACTAACATGTGCTGCTTCTAGTAAATAGCTAAACTCAAAAGTAATCTCACTAAATTAACTAAGAATGAACATAACTCAAAATAGATGCAAATGAGTTTAATGGAAATGTTCATATCATATTTAACCAACGCATCTATTTTGTGTTCAAATAAGATGATAAAGGTTGGTTGACTTAACTTGGTTTGTTTAGATGGAATATAGGTGGCATGATTAAATCATGTTCATCCAATGAATTATTTTTTTGACTCTGAAGTTGCCCTATAGGGTAGGCAACTTCAGAGAAGCTAGCAAAAGCAAGTTAGCTTTGAAAGCAAGAGATCCCAGCCTCCTTTCAGAGCGTCTCAAAAGCTATGGCTCCTCCAAAAGACATAAACACGCTCAGCCAGAGCAGAGTCTGCAAAGCGTCACGATATGAGAGACGGCGTTAAATTACCTCATGTCTCAAAGCAAACATTACAATAATAACAGGGCTGCCAACTCTCAAGCATTCAGCGTGAGACTCGAGCAATTGACACTTTTCACCCGCTCTCACGCCACACATCCATTTTCTCATGCAGGGAAAAAATAAAACAGCTGGAGATCGAACAGTATGTCAAATGACGTGACATTTACCTCAGGAAAGCCATTTAATAAAGAGGGGAGTATTTTGCTAAATATGTGCACTATTACATATTTATTATATTTTTATTTATATCATTAAAATATAACGTTATTATAATAAAAAAAGCATTATATTTCATTTAAGTTGAGTTTTAACCTTTAAAAATAATACTAGCTGACAGCTCTCTGTATGTTTAAAGCATTAGGTGAGGTTTTTTTTTTCTTGAGAAAAATTTTAATGTATCATCTGTACCTAATATTTATCCAAATTAATCGATATTGAATCAAGATCGGAATCAAATCACACGAATTGAATTGTGACATTTGTGTCGAGCAACAATAAAAAGGTAGCCTGTCATTGTACCATGTAAACATTGTAACATGTTGTCACTAAACTTAATAAAGTTATGTTTAGTTCCCAAATGTGTTGATAATCACAATACACTTATTGTAATGCAGGGTTTTGTTTTTACTTCTGATACAGCTGATGTAGGTGATGTCTGTGCGAACAAGATCCATGGAGGTATGGAAAGACAGGTTGGCAGGTAGGACATCCTGTTGGACAAACATTTCTTTTTTGGTCCAGAGACTTCCACAGAAGTTATATGTAAAAAAAAATTATATATATTTAGACCACTTCTATTATTGATTTTTTTTTTCAGGACGTGAAGAGATTTACAATCAGTAGGCTATAACAAAAAAGTGTTTATGTAAAACATTTCCTACCCTACCTTTAATCCAAGGAGAAATGAAGGTGATGATATACAGTATTTACTCAGTATGAAACTTCTGCAGGGTAAAATATAGTATTTAATATCTAATACTTAACTGTGATATGTGTAATCACTGATTCATCACTGATTGCATAATGATTATCCACAACCTAACATCCGCTTTCCCTTAACATTTTTATTCATCTCAAAGGCAGATGCTTTGTTGTTAACGGACCCGTCAGGGGTACGTGACCTGGAGGCTGCCATGTTTGTTTCGGGTACATTTGTCATGTGACAGATCACTCGTCAAATGCAGCAGACGGGGGAAAAACAAGTCAATTTCATGCTTTTAAGAGCCCTCCAGATTGAATCTGCTCCTGCTAAAACATTTACTATAACAATACCTTATTTTTTTGTTCCTTGTAAAAGAAAAATATTTTTGTCAGAATACACAGATTTTGTCAACTGTTTCGAAACTGAAACAAGAAAAAATGAAATGTTAAACAAAAACAAAAGTTTTCCTTAATAATACACTCAGGGCCGTCCATAAGGGGGGATAAAGGGGAACGTTTTCTGGGGCCCAGCCGCTGGGGCCCATGCAGTCCAGCAATAATTATGTTCATCCTAAATATAAGCAAAGGTTACCATATTTTATTTTTAACCAAAATATCACCATTTATTGTTGAAAGTGAGAAAAACATGCATTTTATTTACTGTTGCTTGAGTAAAATGGAGCCTGTGTCATAATGAAACACCCCTCTCCTGAAAATGGTCTGAGTAGGCTATTTTTTGTTGTACGTAAGTCAAAACACCAGTGCTTCGCGCCAGTTCGCGGTCAGAAGCGCAAATGAGTGACACGATGGAGTGCGCGAATTGACACGGTAAGACCATAGACAGTAAAAGAAAAAGTAAGACCTATTGCTCACCACCTCCCCAGTGTGATTGAAGCAATCAATTGCCTAAAATCGTCCTGTAAATTATCTAATGAGGCCTTATCAGATGTGCGAGGACTGAGAGAATATTTCATGTCATTTACAGCAGTTGTCATGTGCACTGTCCGGCTAAAACTACTACAACATATCAAAGATAGGATGAAATTTGCTTCTGCAGAGTGGCAGCCTTATGGTGTGTTCACACCGAACGCGAATAGAGTGTCAAATACGCGTCTATCGCGTCTAGTTAGACGCTTGAACATTCGCTCGAGTTAAAATTTTTCAACTTGCGTGGAAGACGTTCGCGGCAAACGCGTCGCCCAATTCGCGTCATTCGCAACGCCCGGCGCGAATGATGCGTCTATTCGCGTCTTTGCATTGACTTTGTATGTAATCTACTCGCGCAAATAATTAAATACGCGTTCGGTGTGAACACACCATTAGATATTGGACAGGTCGCGGGAATGGGGTTGTTTCATGACAATTTTCTCTTTTTTTTTCATTGGTTGTTGCGTTAAATCGTACCCAGATACAATAGTGCTATTTTCTGATTGGCTTTTGTGTAGCTCAACTAACAACACAGGGGAGACGCGCTTGATTCCTGCTGGGTCCAAAGTGAGAGCGTCGCGGCCAGAGACATTTTGGGCGCTGCGGCATATTAAATATATTATAAATCGTTTTTCCGCGTGAGAAATACAATGTGTGGCGGGAGTGCGTGACAAAAGACTGAAATGAGTGACTGTCATGCTCAATGCGTGACACTTGAGAGCCCTGTGTGTGTGTGTGGTTGTGTGTGTGTGTGTGTGTGTGTGTGTGTGTGTGTGTGTGTGTGTGTGTGTGTGTGTGTGTGTGTGTGTGTGTGTGTGTGTGTGTGTGTGTGTGTGTGTGTGTGTGTGTGTGTGTGTGTGTGTGTGTGTAACTATAGACCCCATCACTGAGTAAGTCTCTCTCAGTTAAATGTATGTGTTAATGTAGGAGAGAGAGAGAGAGAGCACACGCATGATATGAGTAGCCTATTGCAGATTTGGGGAGGGCCACTGGACCTTTTCAGGGGCCCAGTCATTTCTGTGGGCGGGCCTGAATACACTCAATAAAAAGTCAATAAAAAGGGCACAATGTACTGTGTTAATAGTCAAGTCACCTTCATTTATATAGCGCTTTTAACAATACAGACTGCCTCAAAGCAGCTCCCCAGTGACAACAGGTAATC